AGGGGCGGGCTACAAATAAAAATTATTATTATTATTATTATTATTAAAAGCACTCATATATAAATGTCAATTCATGCTTCTTAGCCCTGCTACAAATGGAGGACCCATTGTAATTCCTCCTGGACAGAAGGTGCAAATGGAGGACATGCCCAGGGAAAGGAGGATGACCTCTGGTCACCCTGATCTGGAGTCATTTCCCCAGCCTTTCTGTTTAAACGATGGTTGTGAGCAGGGGGGAAAACACCGACAGGCGCATGGAGGGGATGGAGCCCCAAACTTTTTAACTTGGGTCTAACCCCATGATCAGGGTGACCCGATGTCCTCACTGCCAAGGAGGACATGGCTCCCGTTTCTCTGGTTATGCCTTGCTCTTCTTCTTGTTGAGAGCAGCTGGGGTGGTGGTGGCGAAAGTGGAGGAGGAAGAGGAGGACCGAGGTCTCCTGTTGCTGCTGGACCTGCTCCTGCTGTCCACCAAGGAGGAGGAGAGGAGCAGCATTGCCCCCTGGGAGGCACCCATGAGCACCGCAGAGACCTCCCCCTCCCCACCAATGATGCAATTTGATTGACAGCAGTGCAAATCAAGTGGGAACGACAATCATGTCAAAAAAAGACACAAATTCATGGAATAATGAAATAATATGCTTCCATAGTGGGAACTACACATCGGCCTGAATCGATTCAGAGGGCCGGTGTCAAGGTGACTCGCAAAGCGGTTTAAATGCAAGTGGGAATGAGCCCTCTTTTCCCAGCCCCACAACTGCAACCAAAACATACCTGGGCACCTCCTGCATGCATCTAGTCAGGAAACAGCCATGGCAGCATACTGTGGTGCTTTGAAACTGCGGTGCTTTGAAATAGGGATGCAGAAGTGCATAGGGGAAGTGTTATGCTCCACTCATGCAATGCAGGATCCTATATACTTTTGAGTTATTTATGGTGTTATATTTAAGATGCTTTCAAGATGCTAGGTTGGCAGAAGCTGGGACTAGTGACAGGAGCTCACCCCATCATGCAGAACTAGAAAAGATTCTAAAATGCAAAAATATACAACTCAGCACAAAAGTTAGAATCATACAAGCCATTGTATTCCCTATTACCATGTATGGATATGAGAGCTGGACACTTAAGAAAGATGATAGGAAGAAAATTAATGCATTTGAGATAATGTGGTGCTGGAGAAGAGTGCTGAGGATCCCAGGGACAGCCAAAAGGACAAACAAATGGGTCCTAGAGCAGTTCAAGCCGGAAACCTGCCTGGAAGCCAAGATAACCAAACTGAGACTGCTGTACTTTGGACCCATCATGAGAAGAGGTGACTCTTTGGAAAAGGCAATAATGCTGGGGAAGGTGGAGGGAAGTAGGAAGAGAGGAAGGCCACTTGCAGATGGATGGACTCTATTAAGGATGTCACGGGAATTGCAGGATTTAAACAGAGCAGTGGAGGACAGAGGGTCTTCTTGGAGATGTCTCATCCATAGGGTTGCCATGAGTTGAGATTGACTTGAGGGCAGTTAACAACAACATGAACAACAAATTTAAGATGTTGCTTTCCCATTTCTTTTTCGCCCAAAACTACTGGGAAGGGCAACTTTCTGCCCTCACTTCTCCTATCCCCCGCTGTGTAACTGAATATCACCTACGTTTGCATTTTGAACTCAGGTTTACAGCAATTAAAGTAAGCTTGGGACAAGGGGAAATGAAAGAAGAGAGGGACACTGCAACATTATAAAAGCAGTTGAAAATGTAGGATAACAGAGGACAGTTGCCAAACCAGACAGTTGGAGGGTATGTGAATATCCCCAGACATGTACATGCAGAGGAATGCTTCATTTCACAAGTGTTTTCAAGAACTGGGAATACTTCATATGCATTATACCTATTGTAATCCTCACAACAGCCTTGTAAGTGATATTCTTCCAAATAGTAGATGTAAGGACTGAAGCTATCTCATGATATAGCAGAATGAAGAACTGACTCAGGCTGCAAAAATGATCCAGGTTGACACCACTTTAATTGCCCTGCCTCAGTGCTATGGGAACTGTAGTTTTGTGAGACATTTGGCCTTCTCTGTCGAAGAGCTCTGGGTTCCAGAAACTACAAACTACAGTTCCCAGAATTCCGTAGCATTGAGCCAGGGCAGTTAGAGCGGTCTCAAACTGGATTATTTCTGCAGTGCGGATGTATCCTCAGGGACCTCCTAGTTGCTCCCTCGATCTCATAGCCAGAATGCTATACCACCTTGAGGACAGTGGTCTGTGCAAAGAGTTTAAAGATTGCACAGCTCCCTGAAAGTTTATAAAGCCAAAATTTCCAGACTTTTGTGCATATGTTTTTCCAGGATGAAAGACAGAAAGGGGTGAAATGTTAAAGGCTAATTATAACAGACTTGATTAGGATAAGGAGAAGAACTTGCAAACAATTGGAAGAAACACTGAGTTGATAGCTGCCCAGT